GGTGTTTTTAGAAGAGGCAGATTTTCAGGGTTATGTGTGGATTTTCAAGTGCGGCACTCGCTTGTCTGCGGCACTCGCTTATCACGCACGTTATTTGATTGAAAGGTTATGATCTTGAGTAGGTAGAGTCCCGCGCTAACAATTAAACAGGGGGTCGACTGTATGAGACAACACTAACCCTAACCCTGACCAACTGAGCGCAAGACTTGTCCCCCTTCTTGTCTTCAGCACAGGTAAGCAGAAAAAGCCACTACATCATGGCAATTTGACTTTGACGGAACTGGGTTTTGAGGCGGAACTCGGCTGCAGCGCCAACCTGAAATGAAAAGCAAGAGCGGCAATATGAGCCCACCAACCAGAGCACAACTCAACAAGCACATGAGATTCACAGGGCTGTTGGTCTAGAGGCATGATTCTCGCTTTGGGTTCTTACTCCTTCTACTAGGAAGTAGAGAGGGAAGGCAATCCTGCGAGAGGTCCCCGGTTCGATCCCGGGACAGCCCCGTTTTCTTGGAAAGACTCTCTATATCTTTTATTTATTTTTCTTTTTACTATTTCTTTTATACAGGACTTGTCTGTCCTCATATTCTCTTTCCAAAGGTCAGCCTGAATGCATTGCTGATTAGACCTCGCTGAATCTGGGCTGCACTAGGCTGTAGTGAAAAGGAAACGAAACATCTAAGAGGAAGCCAATAACTATCTTCCTGTTCTACTTGCTTGTGCAAAAAAGAAAAAGGAAGAAGAGGTCATCCCGATAGCCTCCCTAGGAGACTGGAAAAAAAGAAAAGTAACGACGTGGGCCCGATTCGAACGGACGCCCCCGAAGGGACAAGATAACACCGAATTTTGCTGGATACTAGATTCGAGTCTTGCGCATTAGACCACTCTGCCACCACGCCCTGAACTGATTTGATGGAAGACCAAGGCGGTCATTGGGCTTACCAGTGGGTCGATTGGCTGTCACAAGCTATGTGCAGGATGGCAAAGAGGTAAAAGCTTAATGTGGATTACGGGGCCTTTCTTTGGAATTGAGTTTTCAGCTTGACAATCATTCATGTGCATTACAGTCGAAACTAGAGGTTTGACTCAAAGCTCATCGCATGTGTATGATGGCCCAAGTTGAGGCACTAATCATAACTGATGGTTACTTTGCGTGTCTGGACATCACAATTTGTCGAGGTCAAACACAGCATATAGCAAAGAAAGTGGATCTCCTTTCAGACATTAAAGGCAAAAGAACGAAAGAGCCTGCCTGACTCGTTTGCCGTCATGCAGGAGTCCACAAACAGCCACCCAACTTCCAAGCAAACCTTACTTGCCCTCTTTCCCACACAGCTGATACATAACAGAGAATACCGAGCCCTCTCCCCAACAATCCACACCCTACGACAAGTGCCCACACTTGTTCGATGACATCTTCCGTAGTATAGTGGTCAGTATGTGAGCTTGTCATTCCGCCCCTGGTTCCGACTTACGCTCGAGACCCGGGTTCAATTCCCGGCGGGAGAGTAGACGTATCCTTTTGCTGGTGAAAGTGTGATGCTTTCCTCGTTTCCTTTTGGTGTTTGTGAATTTTGATGGTTTTGATATTCGGGCGGTTTGTTACCCCTTTTCCTCACAAGAGGAGAGAGAGCAGGGGTGTGACTGTCCACGGGCAGCTGGCAGACAGCTGTCTCAGTTTCCCCCGCTGGCGAAAAATCAGAAATTCCACTTTGAGTAATTCAAACTTTGGTCCACTCCTTGGCCGTTGTGAAATTCTGTATCGAACGAGATATAGAATTTTCCAGAGTTCTCAAAGTCGTTCACTACTTCAATAACTGAACGTACCCATCATTTTTTTCAAACTCGCAAGAACACTGCACCATATCGCATTCGATACAGCACAATGTCGTCTTCCACCGAACCAGTCCTCCGCAAGGTCGACATCTCAGCCAGTCCAGCGGTTCTCACCGTTGCCACTACGCTTCGTCGTCTGTGGTTAGTCGATCCTTCTTCGCCCGTTCTGGCGGAGAAGCTCGCCAAAGCGAAAGAAGAAGAAAGCGATGACGAGCACGAGCACGAGCATGATCACGCCAACTGCTCTGGCCATGATCACGCCCACGAAGCAGATCTAGACGATGAGGAGCACGACCATACCAACTGCTCTGGTCATGACCATTCCCACGCCCATACCCACAAAGAAGGCGACGAAGCAGAGAGTGATCACGACGATGAATCCTCCTGCGGATGCGGACATGCCCACGACGACGATGACTACGACGACGACGACCTCGAGTCCGAGTACTTGCACCAAATCTTTCCGCTAGCTCTGACAGACATCGCAGCCCCGATTGGCGAGGAGGCTGATCCCAATAATGATGTTTACGATGACGCGAAGTGGATTGCCAGCACCGATTTGGTCTTGATTGACCCGCCCACTGGGCATGGCAACCCGATTCAAGTTCCCCCTGGCTTTTCAGTTTCATATAAAGGTGCCCACTTCCACTCCAAGGATGATACTGCAAAGCCAGACGAAACCAAGGACGAAGCGGCAGAGCAATCCAAGGACACAGACAAAGGTTCCAAGCCAGCCGAGCCCAAAGATGCAGATGCAGATGCAGAGGAGGAAGACTCCGACAACGACGATGCAGTCTCGTCCCCCCTATTCACCCCCTTCAGACAACAAATCTACCGCCTGTACAACCACGTCTTCTTCGACGCACATTCTTCTCTCAAGGCCCAGCTAGCTTCAGCCGGGGGCAGCACGGAACAGGCACAAATCGGAGACTTCAAATACCCCGCCACGACAATGATGGTTCTCGAGGCTCCGGAAGAAGACGAGCCCGAGAAGGAAAAGGGAATCCCGCACGAGTTTGAGACCGACACTTTTGTATATCCTGTCTGGATTGCACGGGGTACGAAGCTTACTATCAAGAAAGAAGGAGAGACGGAGACAATGGTCGAGTTCACAGACGAGGGCAAGAAGTGGACCGAGGTTCTTTGGTTCAAGGCTGGGACGACGGTGGTTGTTCACCCCGAGGGTGAGGATTCCAAGGCAAAGGGGGTTGTGGCGTTGCTTTGTTTGGGCGGTTGTGCCCCCGTTGGTGAGGGCGAGGGTGAGGGTGAGGGTGCCACTGATGGCGCTGAGATGCTTTAGGTATACACCTTGAACGACATTGGCATCATTTCTTTCCGCTAGGTTGTTATTGCTGCCCGAGATGGGGCCGCCGGTACAATTCCGAGCGGATGTTGAAGATCGGGGCGGAAAGTGGGGAGTGGGTATCCGATTGTGGTACGAAGTAGAATGAGTAGAGAGTATAGTCCTTTAAATTTCTAATCTCTACGCCATATAAAGGCCCCCGATGTGTGTATCTGTGAACTGCAAATTCGACATTAGAAAAGCATCAAGGTGAAGCATATGTTGCGGCCTTACTGGCTCGGCTGAGACATGGACCTGGGACGAGTAAAACTCTTACTAGCCGGGCACATGCTCAGGATAAACTGGAGGAGGTAGGTGTTGTGTGAGTGATGTTAGGATCTGCTTGATATCTCTATTTTGCGGAGAAGGAGATGGATGGGAAAGGTAAGAATGATGAAAGCGCCGTTCAGGTCAGTGCTTGCTGACCACTGCGCAGTATACCTCAACTTTAATGAAGGTTGTTGCTTGTGGAGGCAACGTTGTGCATGCCATATTACCATGTAATAAGGACATTCCAACGCAAAGAGGAAAGGCGGAATGACAACCGAACAAAGCCAAGGCGGCCTCGTAAATCGACACTACTACTACACAAGTGACAGAACGGAAGCGATCCGACCCTTTGACCGGGCATGTCACGGTTTGTGGCGCTGCTTTGGCGGGGAAGCAGGCCTCGAGTGTCACTACTTGTCACTTCAGGGGGATTTAAACAACTGCCTAGTGTGAGCTGGGGTCGTAAATGGGTAATATGGAGCAAAGCTACCGGAGGCATCTGCCGTCTGGGGAGATGACCGATCGATTGCCTCTCTCAAGCTTTTGTACTCGGTAAGCTTGTTGATATTACCTTGGCGTGGGTGATCCGGATGACCGCCAGATCCTTGTTTGACAACTGGCAGGTCACGTCTTTCTTCATACTGTGTAATGATGGGAGAAAGCTGTTTGAAGGTGCTTTTACGCCCCACAGAGAAATTCAGTCACGGGTTGCTGTTATAGGTGGGATGAGAATATCAGACATATAGCCACCTGGAATCCGGATCAGTTTGCTGGAATATGTTTGGTTCCAAGGAGCGGGGACAGACAAAACATATCTCATATTCGAGACAGTATTTATCCTCTATATATGATGGGGGGGAAGGTGTGCACAAGTTTCCCCCATCGGGACATCCATGTGTTTGGAGAATTGGAGATCTAGATCGTGTATCGTATCAACCCCTTTCCCGCCCAACTGACCGAGTCCGCTCGCCTCCAACGGTTGACCCTCGCGAACCACGGTTGGATGGACCCTCGATCTCGCGTCTCCCGTCCGGTACTCGCTCATAAGCGCAGATTTGGTGGTCCCGCCTCGGCAAGACGGTGCACCTACCAGAAGCTCTTGCATAGACGAAGACATGGCGAAACCTCAAAATAACTTGTTGGCAATTACTAACGAGGTGCAGGTGCTTAACAAGAACCCGGTATATCACGCCGGAGTGGGCCTTGGTTGGTTGGGTCGCGAGAAGCCATCTCTGGGGGCGTCTTGTTTGGTTGGTACACTTTAGCCAGAATTGTTTAGCAGGTTGAGAGGGGAGTCGACACCGACACCGTTGCGGTTCGGTTCGCTTGTCTTCTTACCGACAATGGCACCCCGAGCTCCATTACGCGCACCTACTGCTGTGACAATATCTGCGGTTGGTGTTGCGGCAAACAACGGATCTTGGATTCACACCTCCAACCCATGTTATCCCGTCCACTGGTTCCAAGCGAGCAAATCTTCTTTTTACATTAATTGCACCCCCTCCCAATTCACACCTTGGCTTTCGTTCTTAGCAGCGCTCGCCCATCTACGTCTCCCTTTTCTTTACCCCAGGAAATCCAATTTGTATTGATTATGAGGAGGAGCCGAAATGCCACCGGTCCGCAGCTTGTCTTGCTTCTTTCCCTCTACGCCAGCCATTGAGCTCGCATGCTCTGGGGGACAGCAATCTATTCATTCGGAACCTGGATACATGGAAATGGTGATGACGAGGAAAGGGGTCCCGTGAGTTCGGATTTTTGAGCCGGGAAGCAACTCAGCCATGAATGAAGCATGATCAAAATGCGTGCTTCCTGCCCGCCCTGCCGTTCTTGCACCTTTGTCCTACCTTGGCCCCCTTTCGCCCGTCTCTCCTTCCACTTGACGTGCCTTCCCACAAGTTAACCGGCCCCTCCCTGCCTTTACTGGGCGGCCACAGTTCTGCATTGCACTGCACTGCAGACTGTCAAACGAACGAACGAACGGGCCACCTCTAATACTACTTCCTTGCCATACCCACCCTTGATCATCCATTCAGATGCCCAGTTTACCACCCTATGAGGTAAACATCGAATGATCACAACCACCGGCAGGGCTGCTGGGAAGCAATCATGTCGGCGGTGCCGACCAGACCGCCAGTCGATCCCGCCCGGGCGGCCGAGTCGAACGAGAGGCTCTTCCTGTCCATCATCTGCGTCTTTTCGAGTCTCTCCTTAGTCACCGCCTCGCTTCGCTTCTACTCGAGGGCTGTCCTGGTACGGTCGTTTGGCAGGGATGATGTGTTTATGGTGCTCGCTGTGGTAAATGCCCACAAGATTTTCCCTGCAGTCAACGAGATCCTGGGCTGACAATGTGCATCGCTTGCCTCGATACAGCTGTGTGCGATAGGCGGCTTGATCACATGGTGTATCACAACCAGAGTTGGATATGGACGACATCAAGACACCATCAGC